ACTGATGTGGCCTCTCCCGTTGCAGAGCACAGGCTCCGGACGCGCAGGCTCAGCGGCCATGGCTCACGGGCCCAGCCGCTCCATGGCATGTGGGATCTTCCCGGACCAGGGCATGAAACCGTGTCCCCTGCATCGGCAGGCGGACTCTCAACATTGTGCCACCAGGGAAGCCCCTAAGCCACATCTTTAATAGCCTTAAATATCCCATTGAACTCTAATCATTATGGCACATAGATGTTTACCTTTGATCAACATAGACAAATTGTCCATTCACTGCAAAACGCGTAATAAATTCAGTTGGTTTCACTTTAATCTCTCCACTGTTCTGTGGGACAATATATGGATGTAATCTTCCAATGGCAACAAGGCAGGTAAAATTACTACTGTCTTTCTTATTGTCCATTTCTTCTTCCATCCCAACAATATTTGGAGGCCAGTTTCTCAAGTAACCAGTGCAGTGGATAGTACAGAATTTTCTATGATCTAATTCAAAGGTTTAAAAACAAAAAAGCATTTGTCAACTATATCACAATAAAACTAAAAAAAAGCTAAAAATTTAAAAAGCATTTGAACCATTATGAATTCTTAAATTAGTTACACTGACATTTATAATAGTTATAATTGTGCTATGAAATAGTCTTTAAATATGCTAAATATGAAAAGGGAATAGGACTGCATTAAAAAGAAATCATCAATCATGTTTACTTAACAACTTCATCCCTAATGGGTTATTTTTCTCAAGAACTAAACTATACGTACTACATCAAAATGACTTTTAATTTCGGTTTAAATAGGTCTATAGTTATTTTGTTATTTCCAAGTTAATTTTTTAAATTACAGTACTTTATGTGTTAGAAAAAGTTAAACTTCATCCTCCCTTGCTCTCAGCTACAGAAGTATTGTTTTCAGCTTATTTAAATTTTTGTATATTATAATTTATATTCATAAATTTAAAGGATACATGGATATATTCATAAATTTCTTATGTAAGCACTTATAATGGCTAATAGATACATATGATTATAATAGATTATAGAGATTTCAGAGAACATTTAGAGAAATTTATAATAAAATATATAAAAATAAAACTTGACTCAAATTTCACTTCAAAAAAATCTTAAGCAATTAACTCATAAGAAAAAGCTCATCAAACAGATCCAACCAGAAGAATAAAAAATTGGAAATAATCCATATATTCAAATAACAGGAAATGCTTAAGAAAACAATGACAGTATAAAAGATAGGCAGTATACAGATTATGGCAATCTACAAAAAAGTAACTTAAAGGTTAAAAAGGGGGGGGAAAGCTGATAAAAATTACTTAAAACAGTTGTTTGTGATAAGATTTAGAAAAGACCAGAACAGTCTTTGTTTTAAGTTGGCACCTTTTGCTAAGACTGTTACTACAAATATTTAAAAAAAAAAAAATTTTTTTTAATGGAAGATGGTATGGGCTGTCTTATAAGATAGCAACTAATAGTAATAGTAAAGGTGTAAAGAACACTTTATGTGCCATGCTCTGTTTTAAGTTCTCTAAATGAATAATTCATTTATTCTTCTTAGTAGTCCTATGAGAGGTTCTAATATCATCCCCATTATCTCAGGAAACTGAGAGTTACTGCCAGGGTCACAGCAGGGAAGGGTGGAGCTGAGGGTTTACATCCAGACAGGCTGGCTCCAGAACTCCCTCTGTGAACCGCTACTGTGGTGCTATTTGATGGTAGTGAGTGCCTGTCATAGAAGGTATTCAAACAGGAATTGCCTGAGTGATGGAGGGGGAGTACTACAAAAAGGTGTTCCAGTCAGAGGGAACAGCCAGTGCAAACAGTGTCAAGAGCGAGCAGTCAGAAGCAGCTGAAGCATAGTCTGTGATGGGGAAGTGGCAGAATAAAGCAGGGAACAGACAGTTTAGCTCTCGTAAGCCCCGTGTAGAACCTTGTATTCAACACCTAACAGACATCATCCCCTCCACAGCCCACAGACGCCTTAAATTACATGTCGTTATCTCTTCCAACCCCAACCCAAGCCTTTATCACTTACTCCCTATCCTGCTTAATGACACCACAATCAACCCAGGTAGTTAAAAGAGAAACCTGGGCTCCTCCCTTCACCTCACCCAACATCCAAGATATCTTAAAGGAAATAAAAATTGGGGTAAGTGTAATACAAGGTTCTCATTCATATTAACAAAATTAGATGGCAGTCAAAAATAAAAAGGCTTACATCTGTGACAACATGGGTGGACCCTGAGTATATTATGCTGAGTGACATAAGTCAGACGAAGAAAGACAAATACCGAGTGATTTCACTTATATTTAGAATATAAAAAACAAAAACAAAAACCAAAATAAATGAACAAACCAAACCAAACAAAAGCAAACACACAGATACAGAGAACAGAGTGGTGGTCACCAGAGGGGTAGGGGAGGTGAGTGGGGGCAGAGGGGAGGGCAAGATGAGTAAAGGGCAATCAACCACATGGCGATGGATGGAAACTAAACTTTTGGTGGTGAGCATACTACAGGGTGTACAGAAGTAGAAATATAATGCTGTACACATGAAACTTATATAACGTTATAAACAAAAGTTACTTCAATAAAAAATAAATTAAAGAAGGCTGAGTTTGGCATTTATAAACTGAGTCTGGCATTTCTGATGATGCTTGCAAATTTACAAATGATACTGATGAAAAATATTTCTACTCAATGGAAAATATAGACTGAAAAATGTTTTACATTTATATATGGAATCTCATCACACAGAACTTAGCCTCTTTAATTCTTCTCTAACAACAGGGTTACTAACAATTTCCAACTCAATCTGTCCCTCAATTCTCACCTTGAACATTTATTCAGTTGGCAAAATTCTAGCTGGGATTGTGTAATTCCATTCACTGATGGAATCTGACCCATTTGATCAATTATTCAAAGTTTAAAAAAATCCTATTAAAAAATCCTCTTGGGGATTTTGCTTCAAGATGGCGGAGTAGAAGGACGTGCCCTCACTGCCTCTTGCGAGAGCACCAGAATCACAACTAGCTGCTGGACAATCATCAACAGGAAGACACTGGAACTCACCAAAAAAGATACCCCACATCCAAAGACAAAGGAGAAGCCACAATGAGACGGTAGGAGGGGTGCAATCACAATAAAATCAAATCCCATAACTGCTGGGTGGGTGACTCACAAACGGGAGAACACTTATACCACAGAAGTCCACCCACTGGAGCGAAGGTTCTGAGCCCCACGTCAGGCTCCCCAACCTGGGGGTCCGGCAATAGGAGGAGGAATTCCTAGAGAATCAGACTTTGAAGGCTAGCAGGCTTTGATGGCAGGACTTCGACAGGACTGGGGGAAACAGAGACTCCACTCTTTGGAGGGCACACACAAAGTAGTGTGCACATCGGGACCCAGGGGAAGGAGCAGTGACCTCAGAAGAGGCTGAACCAGACCTACCTGCTAGTGTTGGAGGGTCTCCTGCAGAGGCATAGGGTAGCTCTGTCTCACCATGAGGACAAGGAGAATGGCAGCAGAAGTTCTGAGAAGTACTCCTTGGCGTGAGCCCTCCCAGAGTCTGCCATTAGCCCCTCCAAAGAGCCCAGGTAGGCTCCAGTGTTGGGTTGCCTCAGGCCAAACAACCAGCAGGGAGGGAACCCAGCCCCACCCATCAGCAGTCAAGCAGATTGAAGTTGAACTGAGATCTGCCCACCAGAGCAACAGCCAGCTCTACCCACCACCAGTCCCTCCCATCAGGAAACTTGCACAAGCCTCTTAGATAGTCTCATCCACCAGAGGGCAGACAGCAGAAGCAAGAACTACTATAGGGCTTCCCTGGTGGCACAGGGGTTGGGAGTCCGCCTGCCAATGCAGGAGACACGGGTTCGTGCCCCGGGCCAGGAAGATCCCACATGCCGCAGAGTGGCTGGGCCCATGAGCCATGGCCGCTGGGCCTGCATGTCCGGAGCCTGTGCTCCGCAACGGGAGAGGACACAACACTGAGAGGCCCGCATACCGCAAAAAAAAAAAAAAGAACTACTACAATCCTACAGTCTGTGGAACAAAAACCACATTCACAGAAAGATAGACAAGATGAAAAGGCAGAGGGCTTTGTACCAGATGAAGGAACAAGATAAAACCCCATAAAAACAAGTAAATGAAGTGGAGATAGGCTACCTTCCAGAAAAAAGAATTCAGAATAATGATAGTGAACATGATCCAAGACCTCAGAAAAAGAATGGAGGCAAAGATCGAGACGATGCAAGAAATGTTTAACAAAGACCTAGAAAAATTAAAGAACAAACAAACAGAGATGAACAATACAATAACTGAAATGAAAAATACACTAGAAGGAATCAATAGCAGAATAACGGAGGCAGACGAACGGATAAATGACCTGGAAGACAGAATGGTGGAATTCACTGCTGTGGAACAGAACAAAGAAAAAAGAATGAAAAGAAATGAAGACAGCCTAAAAGACCTCTGGGACAACATTAACGCAACAACATTCGCATTCGCATCCTCTCCAAGAAGAAGAGGAGAGAGAGAAAGGACCCGAGGAAATATCTGAAGAGATTATAGTTGAAAACTTCCATAACATGGGAAAGGAAATAGCCACCCAAGTCCAGGAAGCACAGCGAGTCCCATACAGGATAAACCCAATGAGAAACATGACGAGACACACAGTAATCAAATTGGCAAAAATTAAAGACAAAGAAAAATTATTGAAAGCAGCAAGGGAAAAACGACAAATAACATACAAGGAAACTCCCATAAGGTTAACAGCTGATTTCTCAGCAGAAACTCTACAAGGCAGAAGAGAGTGGCATGATATACTTAAAGTGATGAGAGGGAAGAACCTACAACCAAGATTACTCTACCAGTCAAGGATCTCATTCAGATTGAATGGAGAAATTAAAAGCTTTACAGACAAGCAAAAGCTAAGGGAATTCAGCACCACCAAACCAGCTCTAAAACAAATGCTAAAGGAACTTCACTAAGTGGGAAACACAAGAGAAGAAAAGGACCTACAAAAACAAACCCAAAACAAATAAGAAAATGGTCATAGGAACATACATATTGATAATTACCTTAAACGTGAATGGATTAAATGCTCCAACCAAAAGACACATGCTTGCTGAATGGATACAAAAACAAGACCCATATATATGCTGTCTACAAGAGACCCACTTCGAATCTAGGGACACATTCAGACTGAAAGTGAGGGCAGGGAAAAAGATATTCCATGAAAATGGAAATCAAAAGAAAGCTGGAGTAGCAATACTCATATCAGATAAAATAGACTTTAAAATAAAGAATGTTACAAGGGACAAGGAAGGACACTACATAATGATCAAGGGATCAATCCAAGAAGAAGATATAACAATTATAAATATATATGCACCCAACATAGGAGCACCTCAATACATAAGGCAACTACTAACATCTGTAAAAGAGGAAATTGACAGTCACACAATAATAGTGGGG